TCTCCTCATAGGGCTTGGCCTGCAAGCCCTTAACCATACGAGTGGCCCTTCTCTGGACCCTCTCCAGGTTATCCACATCCCTCTTGAAGTGCGGCGCCCAAAACTGCACACAGTATTCCAACTGCGGTCTGACCAGCGCCCAATAGAGGGGCAGTATCACCTCCTTGGCTCTATTTGTCATGCACCTGCTGATGCATGATAAAATGCAGTTAGCTTTTCTCATTACTTCATCACACTGACGACTCATGTTCATCTTGGAGTCCACTAGGACTCCAAGATCCCTTTCCGCTTCCGTGCTACCGAGCAGGTCATTTCCTAGGCAGTAGGTGTACTGGACATTTTTCCTCCCTAGGTGCAGCACTTTGCATTTCTCCTTGTTAAACTGCATTCTATTGTTTTCTGCCCATTTGTCCAACCTGTCCAGGTCTGCCTGTAGTTGTTCCCTGCCCTCTGGTGTGTCCACTTCTCCCCAGTTTTGTATCATCCGCAAACTTGGACAAAGTACACTTCACTCCCTCGTCCAAGTCACTGATGAAGACATCGAAGAGTATCGGTCCAAGGACCAAGCCCTGCGGGACCCCACTCCCCACATCCTTCCAGGTCGATACTGACCCATCCATCTCTCTGGGTTCGACCCTCTAGCCAATTTGCCATCCATTTTGTTATTTAAAGCCTCAGTTATATATTTCAAACCCATTTCTTATAGAAGGAGACAGTGCTGCAGAATACCACCGCTGTGGCAGACTCCAGAAAACACTGCAACTTCCAGACCCAACTGCCCAAATCTTATTTCACGTCGGAATGTCTGAGACTGCTGACAGAGTTCAACTAATGGTTAAATGGGATCTGATCTGTGATCCCAACATGCACGTGGCAGGAGACATTACTGTGGGATTGACGAAAAGATCCCAATCACACCTTATTGCTGATGCAGAGGGAGCCTGGGCTCATGATCCTGGGCTCCCCCTGCAGCAGCAAGCCCCAAGCCAGGTGCCCAGTGCATCTCCAGATACAAATGTGGACGCTACAAACGCACCCCCAACTGCTTTCCATTTCCACGTTAGACATTTTCCAGCTTATACAAACTAGATATACATAATTCCCCATAAGGCAGGCCAGAACTGTAAGAAACTGGTGCTCGAGTGTTTGATTAGCTCATGGTGCATTATCTGTGTTTGTGCTGGGTTTTTGCACTAACTAGTGCTAAGTAGAGAGGCATTATCACCTCTCATGTCTTGCAGCACTTAATGATTCTACTGATGCATCCCAAAACCATATTTGCCTTTTGTGCAACTGATTCACACTGCAAACTTGTATTGAGTTTGTAATCTACCAAGGAAAAGGATGTGCAGAAGTTAGGCAGGGTCCTGAGACAGGCAACAAAGATGATAAAGGGCTTGGAAAGCAAGTCATACGAGGAGAGGCTGAAGGAGTAGGTATGTTCAGCTTGAGGAAAAGGCATTTAAGAGGAGACATGAGAGCAGGCTTCAAATACCTGAAGGGCTGCCATAAAGAAGAAGGAGAACCTTTTCTTTCTTGCTGCAGAAACTCAGACGTGGACCAATGGCTTGAAGTTGCAGTAGGTTTGAAAGTAGGTTTCAACTGGATATCAGGAAAAACTTCTTCACTGTTAGAACAGTGAGGAAGTAGAATAGATTGCTTAGGGAAGTTGTGGACTCTCCATCACTGGAGGTTTTCAAGAAGAGGTTGGACAGCCACTGGTCAGGGATGATGTGTAGCTATGCCTATGTTCTACTATGGGTATTTCCCCATGCGTCTGTGCTCTGTTGGTTGCCAGATGGGGCTGGGAGGGAATCTCCCCCTCCCCACTGCATCCTGCTACATGTGTCAGGGATTTTAAGTGTTCCTCAGAAGCACTGGGTGTTGGCCGCAGCCAAGGCTGGGGATTTCAACTGAAGTGTGCCAGGGGCTCCTGCTGGGACTCAGAGGTTCCTGAATAGAGGGTCTTGGCCCTCTGCTCAGATTCAGACTGGTCACTGTATTTGAAGTCAGGAAGGAATTTTACCCCATGGTCAGACTGGTATGAACTGTGAGGGTTTTTGCCTTCCTCTGCAGCAGGAGGCACAGGCCACTAGTCTCGAGTGCATGTTAGCCACCTTTAACAGAAACATGGCACTGGCTGCCATGGTCCCCCTGCTTTACCTGTGGCAGGTTAGGGTTTAATATCTTGTGTCAGGATTGATGGCAGTTTTACTAAGAGGTTAGATTATGGATTTGGATAGGATTACCCTGCTTTAGGTAGGGAGTTGGATTAGATGACCTCTGGCAGTCCCTTCCAGCCCTACTACTCTGATTACAAAATTTTCTGGCTTGAGCAAGTTTTCAGGTTCCATCTTAGACGGTTTCACTGTACTTAGAGGAAGGAAGGAAACTTATAATCAGTAAAAATAGTTTGACCATTGTGACAGAAGTTAGTGCGTGTAAAATAAATGAAAGATACAAGGTGTCACCTCCTTATAGACTTGTAAAGCACTGGTATGACTTTTTAAAACAGAATGGTTTTAATTTAATTTTAAAGCTGCACATAAGAAGACAGAGTTTTGTTTGTCCAAGTAAAAGTAACATGAACATATTATGACAAACTATAATATTAAAAAGTATATATTTTTCTATTTAATGAGTTACTGGCTTGACTTGTGCTCAATTTTGCATTGAGTGCACAAGGAGAGGGCCCAGAATGTTTTTTTCCATTCCTCAGCCCCTCCCTTCTCCAGCTGTCTGCAGACAATAGAGAAGTTGCTGAACAACTAGCATTGGAAGCACTAATTTCCCCTTGGGAAGCAGAAGCTTGGTTTAGCTCCCTTTAACACCATTTTAGGTAAGTGTTGCATTATAAGAGATGCATGCTGAGCCTTGTGAGTGACCACTCAGGATATACTGGCCCAAATCCTATTTTATCGTTAGGCATCTAAGTGCTAGTTAGCTAACTAAAAGTAAAGGTGTAAATTACTCTTCATGCTACACAGCTTTTGGATTGTATTTCCACTTATGCAACTAGATATGGTCTTCTAAGCATTCTCAGAAGGTATCTCCTATGACCTGATAAGGGAGGGTACCCTGCATTCTGGTTCCACTTCCTGCCTCTAATGCTGCACATCACACTGAGACACAGAGCAAGGCCCACTGTCTTGCTCTCCTTGCTCCTCCATCATCTCCTCTTGGCTTCTAAGTAGATCAGCTTCAACAGAAGTTGAGGGTCCAACATGGGCCTGCCTTGGTCTACTGTTTCTTGGGCAAGCCCCTTGAACAGTACCTTTCAAAAATTGCTACTCAGCTTTTCCTTCTGTTAGTTATGATGGGGCTTGCACAGAATTCCAGGCTTCCCAGGTGCAATGGAGTTGCAGCAGTGCATAATTGGCCACAGCAGATCCTTTTGAAAAATATGCAGAACTTATGCAGGTTGGAATAGTATCTAAAATTCATGTAAGTGGCACCTACCTTGAGACAGTGAAGTAGCACTGAGGCCCCTGGCAGATGTTACACTTAAGATGTAATTAATCAGCTAAGCCCATCTTAAGTAGTAACTGGCCATATGGTCATGCAATTAATGGTGCAATAAACCAGGGAATAAGCCACAAAATAATTATGCAAATAGTTTTGCGGCTGGTTCCCACTGCAACATAAATAGAAAATGTGGCCAGACCACTCCTTAATCTGGAGGTGCATGGGAGCCCTTCAAGGAAAGGTTCCTAAACTCAGAAGCACCAGTCCACCAATTGACACTTCAGGCCTTGAGAATATATTGGAGCCCTACTGTTGTCCCCAAAGGACAGTGAGTTCGTGCCCGGTGCGCTTGTGCCAATAAACACACAGGGGTGAAGGATCCAACTTAATCTTTATTTCTGCGCAGAAAGTGGTGCTTGGCAATCGTTCACAAAGCAAGCACCCACACCCCAGTGGGCGTCTGTCTTATATAGCTACGTAACAGGTTAAACTTGCTGATGTGATGAAATGTGTAGCAAGCCCAGCAAGTAACCCCCCTTCCAGCTCCCCCCCAAGTAACCCCCCTTCCAGCTCCGGAACTTTGTTGATACAGCTTTTCCTCTAGCGAGGCCAGCAATTAAACAACTAAGCAACAAGCAATCTCCCCCAGCCTAAACAACCTACTCTATGCCCTTGGTTAGATAAAATACTTTTTTCAAAACATACAAAGCTGTTCCTGAAGTAGAAAATGCATAGTAAAAGTTTAGGGGATCTCTGCTGGACATGGCTTCCAGCCCTACCTCTGTCCCTAGGGGTTTAGCCAGGTGCCCATGAAACAAGGGGTGCTTATCACTACCAGGCTCCAGTATGCTCTTGCAGTTAGGAGCACCAGTCAGCTAACTATCACTCCCAGCCAGATGCAGATTCAATAGTAGCCAAATCCACCCTATTTTGAGTGTGCATGTGCACATGCACATATGCACACAGGGTGTGAGCCTAGAGGACAGCACAGGAGAGGGGCTGGGCAGAAAACACTGAGGAAAAGGGCTAGGGACTTCCCTATTAATATGGAAACCTAAGCTGGAACTTTTTTAGTCCTATAGGATTCCATCTTAGGTTTCAGCGTATTTTAGAAACTTGTTACCATATGCTTCATCTTATCAGCCAGAACCATAAATCTTTCTTAGATGTAACTTGTGGGCTAGGGCAGTTAAATTACAGCATGGTGCTGTGTGTTCCTGGCTCAAACCTAGCAAAGCCCTTTAGGCTGTGCTTAAATTTAAGTACATATACAGTCCCACAGATATCAGTGGAATGCAATACATCATGCACCCCTTGGCAGTAATACAGAAAGAGCTGTGAAACTAGCCAAAGCACTTAGGGTAAGTCAAAAAGAAAATCTCCCTAGATGTTTAAAGGGAGGGCGTAGTAGATATGCTGGAGAGTAGGGCTAGGATTCAAAAAATCCTCAACACATTGGAGGATTGGACCAAAAGAAATCTCGATGAAGTTCAATAAGTTCAAGTGTAAAGTCCTGCACTTAGGACAGAACAATCCCATGCACTGCTACAGGCTGGACACAGCAGTTCTGCAGGAAAGGACCTGGGGGTTACAGTGGACAGTAATAAGAAATGTAAAGTGCTCCACTTGGGGACGAATCCCCTGCACACCTACAGGCTTGGCAACACCAATCTGACCAGCACCACAAATGAAAGAGAACTGGGGGTAAAAAAACTGACCACAGTTTGAACATGAGCCAGCAGTGTGATGCTGTAGCCAGCAGGGCAAATAATACTTTGGCATGCATCAATCGATACATCTCCAGCAAAACCAAAGAAGTGATTCTTCTGCTCTACTCAACATTGGAGACCACAGATGGAACGCTGCGTCCAGTTCTGAGCGCCACACTTCAACAAAGACGTGGAAAAGCTTGAGAGAGTCCAAAGAAGAGCCACCCATATGATCAGAGACTTGCACAACAAGCCATATGAGGTAAGGCTGAGGGACCTGGGACTCTTCAGCCTGAAGAAGAGAAAACTGAGGGGGGACTTGGTAGCAGCTTACCGCTATATCAGGGGCGTACATCAAGGGCTTGGTGAACAACTGTTCATCAGGGCACCCTTAGGGAAAAACAGGAGCAATGGTTACAAAGTCCTGGAAGACCATTTCAGGATCACATAAGGAAAAACTTCTTCGCAGCTAGAGTGTCCAGACTGTGGAATAAGCTCCCTCCAGAGGTGGTGTAATCACCTACCCTGGAAATCTTCAAGAAGACACTGGAGGGTCACCTTGCTGGGGTCACTTGACCCCAGTTGTCTTTCCTGCTTGGTGCAGGGGAGCTGGACCCAATGATCTTCCAAGGTGCTTTCCAGCCTACATTCTACAAATCTATGAAAGCTAAACATGAGCCAAGTGTGCTCTTGTTGCAAAGAATGCTAATGCCATATTGGGCTGCATTAGTAGGAGCATTGCCAGTAGATTGAGGGAAGCGATTATTCCCCTCTATTCAGCACTGGTGAGGCAACATCTCCAATCCTGTCTCCAGTTTCAGACCCCCCATTACAGAAAGGATGTGGACAGATTGGAGAGTCCAGCAGTGGGCAATGAATTTGATAAGGGGCTGGGGTACATGACTTCTGAGGAGAGGCTGACGGAACTGGGCTTACTGAATCTGCAGAATTGAAAACTGAGCATGGAATTAATAGCAGCCTTCAACTACCCAAAGGGTGGTTCCAAAGAGGATGGAGCTAGACTGTTCACAGTGATGGCAGATAACAGAACAAGGAGCAATAGGCTCAAGTTGCAGCAAGGAAAGTTTAGGTTAGATATAAGGAAAAACTCTCCCACTAGGAGAGTAGTAAAACACTGGAACAGGTTACCCAGAGAAGCTGATTCACAGATTCATAGATGTTAGGGTCAGAAGGGACCTCAATAGATCATCGAGTCCGAC